TGGCGTAAATTTGTAGAAGACAAAGGGAAAACAAAGGATTATTCACCATTTGTTAGCTATCGCATGCTGGTTGTAGGCTGTGGTGGCGGTTGGGGACAAACCGAACAATGTCCTGCTATGCCAGTGATCATGGTTCGCTGGCTATGGTAGTACTGTCTTCGCTATGGTGTATTCTTGTCCGTTTTTTCGTCGTGGTCTACGGCCTGTCTTGGCTATGGTAGTACTGTGTGGGCTATGGTGCCATCTTGTTCATTGGCTACTAAGGGTCTAATCGTCTGTCTTGGCTATGGTGTAATAATGGCCCATGATGATCTTACTTCGCTGGCTACGGTGGCTATGGTGCCGTCTTGTTCTGTGGGCTATGGGCTATGGTCTGTCTTTTTGGCTATGGTGGAACCATCTTGTCTATGGTGCCATGCTGATCGTTGGCTATGGTCTAATCGTCTGTCTTGGCTATGGTGTATGGCCTGTCTTGGCTATGGCGCTACTGTCTTGGCTATGACACTACTGTCTTGGCTATGGTGCCCGTCTTGGCTGCAGTCCATGATGATCCTGCTTTGCTGGTTATGGTGGCTATGGTGCCGTCTTGTTCTGTGGGCTATGGTCTATTGTCTGTCTTGGCTATGCTGGTGCCATCTTGGCTATGGCGCCATGTTGATCGTTGGCCGTGGTCTATGTTCTGTCTTGGCTATGGTGGTCCTCTCTTGGCTATGGTGCCATCTTGCTCTGTTGGCCATCGTCTATGATCCTGGTTCTACTGTCTTGGCTATGGTCTATGACTCCATGGTGCCATGTTGTTTTCTGGCTATGGCTCAGCGCAGTTAGGTGGTGAATGCTACTCAATAATATAATTTACGTCGGCTAAGGCAGCATCGTCGGCCACCTCTGTCCCTCTTGCTGCCTCTGCTGGGCTTTTCCTTCTCTGTAGTAGTCCACTCTGTAGGTGCTTCATTAGGACCTGGCACACTTGTCAGATGATTGGGAGGATCTGTGTACACATCGTACTATCCAGTTATCAGCACAACATAACAAGCTCACGCCGGTCAAACCCCTTCAGTGGTATGTTTGTGCTTGGAAAGCATGAATCTGGTCATAATTACAGTGATATTCATGCTTTGTTAGCATGAACGTACCATCATCACTTGGGCCTATCTTTCTATGACCTCACCCATCTGTTGGGCTACGTTTGTGCTCGGAAAGCATGAATGTGGTCATAATCACGTTCATGTTCGTGCTTTGTTAGCATGAACTTAGCATCAGTTTGCGCCTATCTTTCTATCGCCTCACCCATAGATAAATAGATACATAGATAGATAGATAAGCTCAGATCAGATGAAATGCATAAGATAAGATGAACTCGATACGATAAGATACGATAAGATAAGATAAGATAAGATAGATATTAGATAGATGTGAATACTAATGTTGTCCTCGCTATCAATGGTGGAGCTGACACATGTACCGTCTTCAACCCGAGCACAACGCACCCTCATCAGGATTGCACCCAACAGGAAAACTTGCTCGCATTATCGTATATACATTCATGATCAGGGTGTGTTCTGCGTGGTAGCGAACCATCAAATCAGAACTCACACAAGCAAGATAAGTTTGGTTATGGGAAGGTGGCCCCACTGCGGAACCATCCAGGTATTATCATCCTTCATGGGGTATTGCTCCACTTCTGTCCACAGTCCAATTTTGGATAGTACTGCATCACTCCACTACTACTATCCAATATCGGGAGTGCAAAAACTTGCAGATAGCTGTCAGAAACCGCTCTCCAAAGTTGCACTCTCCAAAGTTGGAGAGTTCCCCGCCTGCACCGGGGGTTATTTTGAAGGTAGGTCCTTGGCCGACCCAAGAGAGTAGCGCGTGATATTGGAAAGTCCAGCAGGAGTCTGGGCGGCCAAATCTGTCCAACAGCCGTCAAAAACAAAAGGAGAGTACTTGGATAGTGGAGGGGAGGAGGCCAGTAGTGGAGAGGTGGCGTTTTTTTTCCCCACATTTCGGAGAGTCTAAAAAAAAAAAAGGAGAGTCTGGCAACACTATCCATGGCCTCTCCAAATTTATGGACAGGAGACAGTAGTGGGAAAAAAATGATTGCGGAAAAGATGCGGATAAGATGCGGATAAGATGCGGATAAGATGCCGATAAGTTGGGGATAAGTTGGGAATAAGATGGTTGTGGATAAGCTACCTTCTTCCCCCGAATACAACCTCCGGTTGTTATAGCTGTACTTGGGGTATCTTTCAGTCTAAATACCTATATAATGACCGTACGTTGTATTCGGGGGAAGAAGGGAGGGATAAGATGTGGAGTGGGCGCTGCTCCCCGCCAATAGAATGGAGCCGTCTGGCCGCCGTAACTGCTGGGGGGTGACCAAATCACACTCAGCAGGAGGTGAAAGTTAAAAAGAAAAAAAAAAAAGGAAAAAAAGAAAAAAAAAGAATAAGATGTGGATAAGGCTTGGATAAGTTCAGGATAAGATGTGGATAAGATAGGGGTAGCCAAAAAAAAAAAAAAAAAAAAAAAAAAAGATGGGGGTGGCCATTGTCATACTCCATGTGTACCCCTGTCTCTTATACACATCTAGATGTGTATAAGAGACAGGGCCTTACCTTTTTGGGACGATGAAGTTGATTCTATCCCCACCTTTCCTTTTCGGGCCAAGTTCCCACAGAGCGGAGATGACCCTTTTCCGAGTTACTGACAGTTACCGTCTTCCCCCGAATAGAAAACATGGTGGTTATCCTTGTACTATCTAGACTGAATCTTGGCCCAAATACAGAACACCGAATAATGATCGTGCGTTCTATTCGAGGGGAGGGAAGACTGTAGTTCTGTAAATAGCCTCCTGGAAAAATAGAGAGCACCTGGGGCGAGGTCCAACTAGCAAAGAGGATAGGATTGAGCTCTTGAATCTGGACGTGTTTTAAGCAGAGATGCACAAAAGCAGTTCACTGTTGATTTCTTGCAACTTTCCACAAACACGTCCAGATTCAGGCGGTCAGTCCAATCCGCTTTGCTGGTGGGACCTCGCCCCTGAACTCTTCCCGCCTGATGAAGCATGGCGTATCACCTGGACGGGATCCCGATCCCGTCGTCTGCCTGATCCTGCGTGGGTGCACCCAGAGCTTCCGCCAGGTTGCCCATCTCCATCTGATACCTTCTTCCCCCGAATAGAACGCACGGTCATTGTCGCTGTATCTGGACTGAAAACGGCCCCAAAATACAGCTGAAATGATCGTACTACGTTCTATTCGGGGGTAATGGCGTATCACCTGGCCGGGATCCCGATCCCATCGTCTGCCTGATCCTGCGTGGGTGCACGAATAGCTTCCACCAGCTGCCCATCTCCATCTGACACCTTCTTCCCCCGCATAGAACGCACGGTCATTGTCGCCGTATCTAGACTGCACGTGGGCCCAAATACAGCTATAATGATCGTGCTGCGTCCGAATAGAACGCACGGTCATTGTCGCTGTATCTAGACTGAATGTGGGCCCAAATACAAGACGATAGGTCGAAACACACACCGGTATCCTCCGGATCTCCCAAGCGACACCGCCCACCCACGCTCCCTCCATGCATCGTTGACTGCCACGTCAGCAATCATCAGGTCAACCCCCTTTGACTTGAACTTGTCAGCCAGCTCTACCGTCTTCCCGCGAAGAGAACGCCTCGTCGTTATCGCTGCTGCATCTAGACTGAAAATTACCCCAAATACAGCCCTAATGATAGTACTACTACGTTCTATTCGCGGGTGCAGACGGTAGGTGGAAACAGGGATATCCGCCACGGACCTCCAGAGCTCCAAACCGGGACTCCTCTCCCCCCCTTCCTCCATGCAACGTTGACGTCCACGTAAACAATCATCCGGTCAACGCCCTTTGACTCCAACTTGTCAGCCACCTTAACCACCTTCCCCCAAACAGAACGCGGGTTCATTATCCCTGCATGTAGACCGAATGTCGCCCCAAATACAGGTCAAAACCCTTTCTCCGAATAGAACGTACTGCGTCCTATTCGGCCGAAGACGGGTGGGTCGAACCAGGATATCCTCTTCAACTCCCAAGCGTCGCCGCCGCCGCCACCCACGTTTCCCCCTCGATGCGTCGTTGACGTCAACACCCTTTGACTTCAACCTTTTAGCCATCTCGACCGTCTTCGCCGAATAAAACACAGGGTAAATAATACAGATGCATGTGGGCCGACCGGCTGTCTAGATGCAGCAGCGATACTGACCACGTGCGTTCTGTTCGGGGAACGGCTATAGCCGATAGGAAGCGGGGGACATGTCTCTCTCTCGGCGTGCATGCTGAGCTGAAATCAGATACTTGAGAGCTGCAATGATGACCGCCAGCTCTTTTTTTTTCTTTTTTTTTTTCCCTCTACTCACTCCCTCCTGCCCTCCCC